GTGATCCCTGCTTTGAACCAGTGCCTGCTGAATAAGGTGACCCCAAGGATCTGAGTATCCTAACATATAAAAAACCTTGGGTCTGTCACATTCACAACAAAGGAAAAGCTCAACCAACTAGTAGTAAGTCCTGCAGTCAGAGCTGAGTTGCCATAACTGACTGCTACATCTGCAGGCACAGTGACCCAGCACTGACTGCTGAGGGGGCTAAGAATCAGACCTGGAGAGAGGTCTGAAGAGAGAAGCAGGGTCTGATCCATAGCCTCTGCAGCACTGATGATCAGCACTTGCCTCTCTCTTTAGCTCCAGGCCTGGTCAGCAGCCACACCTCCATTTCTCTCCAGGCCTCCACTCAGACTGCTGATCAGCCCCACCTTTATGATCAGGCCCCATTGACAAGCCCAGAGATGATGACTGGCATAGAAACCAACCAATCAGAACCAAATCTGGGTCAACTGTGAAAAGCCAATGGCTACCTAAGAGACAGAGCTTTTGATGCTGATTGGCATAGAAATCGACTGATTAGAACCAAATTGGCCAGCAGAGGAGGATCACTGGGGGTGAGATCAGGCTGGCAGGGGAGGTCAATGGAGGCAACTAGCCTTGCAGGGGAGGTCAATGGAGGCAACTAGGCTTGCAAGGGAGGGCAGTTTGCGGGGGAAACCAGGCCTACAGGGGAGGGTAGCTGGGGGCCATCAGTCTGGCAGAAGGCAGTTGGGTAAAACCAGGCTGGCAGGGGAGGACAGTTGGGGGCAACCAGACCAGCAGGGGAGGGCAGTTGGGAGCGATTGGGCCGACAGGGGAGCAGTTAGGTGTTAATCAGGACAGCAGGGGAGCAGTTAGGGGTGAAGGCTGGCAGGCAGAAGTGGTTAGGGGCAATCAGGCAGGCAAGCGGTTAGAAACTAGCAGTCCCGGATTGGAAGAGGAATGTCCAACTCCCAATTTAAGCCTGATCCCTGTGGGAGTAGGCCTAGACTAGCAGTTAGACATCCCTCAAGGGGTCCCAGATTGGAGAGGGTGCAGGCTCGGCTCGTGCACCGGGCCTCTAGTCCGTATATAATTACCTAAGCATTTAACCAAGGGTTGTCTCAGACACACGAAAATATTCTTTGTACTTTAAAACAGTTCACGGGGAAAGAGAAAAAGAAAAAAGGCAGCCACAAACCCCGAAAGTTTATCTTTAAAAGATTAATCTTGCCTCTAACTAACAGAGAAATAAGGCTACCCATGCTCCTGGCAGTGAAGTTGGAGCACCCCTGGGACCCAGGTTTTATCACACCATCCCAGGGCAAAGTTTGGGTCTCTCATCCAAAATCATATAATAGCTATTTTTTGAGATAGACAAGGGGGAACCTCTATGCTTGAAAAACACAAAAAGAGAAGAATAAAATCCTGCCCTTGAAGAAGTTAAAAGATAGAGTCAAATAGGTTGAAAGGAAATACTTTGTGCTTACCTATTCCAAGTTAACTACCATCTCTATAGTGACTTAAAACACGTCCATGTTTATTCTCTGGAAAGCTTTCCAGCCACACAAAGCCTTGTGTGTTTGGCCTTGCTCTTGTTATTACCCACCCCCACTCCCACAGACCAATGACAGGATGTCCTCTGAGGCTCAAAGCGGTTAGGTGACCTAGTTCCAATGACACAGCCAGAGAGCGGTTACAGTCAAAACCTGAACCCCATGCTTTTTCACTTTACAAATGCAGATTTGTTGTCCCAGTTTGCCTTCAAGGCTTTTTATCTTTAAGGAGCTACAGTTCACAAAGCAGTCTCTGTGGATTCGTTTCTGTCTATCGTTAACCACTCTGACCTCCACGCGCCTCTTCCACCTGAGGCCTCGTTGTTTTCCTTCAACTTAGGGAAGTTCTCACCCGTATCCCTTGACATACGGCTTCAGGCCCATTTGCTTCTCCTTCTAGAACTGGCTTAGGTACTGCCAAACCTTCTCAGTCTGCTCTCCAATCTCATCCACATTTTCCTTTTCTCTATCTCGCTGTACTGCATCCTGGGTGAGTTCTTCAGTTCCCTTTGCCAAAGCACTAATTCTCTCCTCATCTTTACATAATGTGCTAGATCGAACTTTTTTTAATATATGTATATTTTTATTGTTAATAGTATTAGAGATATAACCCATTTTCCCCCTTCCTCCCCTTCTCCCAGCCCCTACCCACTTCCCCCATCTTCACCACCCTACTGCCCATGTCCATGGGCTATGCATATCTATATTAATAAAAGGGTAATATGCTAATTAGACCAGATAGACGGGACGTCATTCCAGACATCCTTCCTGACAAAGCTGGGTGTGGCCAGCCTGGAAACTGCCTGCAGCCCCTTGCCCAGATCAGCCCCACCCCTAGTGGGCACCCCCACCCCAATAGGGTCATGGCCGGACTACAAACCCCTGGTGGCCCCTCACCCTGGCCAGCCCCGCCGTCCCCACCCCCCAGCGGGGACCCACACCCCAACTGGGGGTCTGGCAGGCCTGCAAAATGCCCGCGGCCTCTTGTCCAGGCCAGCCCTGCCCTCCAATAGGGACTCCCCACCCCGATTCGAGGCCCCCTTCAGGGCAGGCCAGCTGGCCCCAAACCCTGCACCAGGCCCCTATCCTATATAATAAAAGGGTAATATGCAAATTGACAGAATGAACAAAACAACTGCTAGACCTATGAGGCACACTGACCACCTTGGTCCCTTTCCCCAGCTGGTGGGCTCCAATCTCCTGATGGCCACCCATGGCGGGGAAGGAACTGGCGAGCACGTGGGAACAGCCCCCCTCTCTGTCCCTCCTCCCCACTGGCAGGCTTGATCACCCCGATGGTGACCAGGGAACTGAAGGTGGGTGGTAGCAGGGGCCAGGGACTGCAAGCAACTGGGGGAGATGGTCCTGATTGCAGGCCAGGCCTAGGGACCGTGCACAAATTTCATGCACTGAGCCTCTAGTGAGTATGTAAGTTCTTTGGTTTATCTCTTCTCACCCCCCTATGTTGGTCTGTTCCATGCCTCCAGGCTTCACATCTTATTATGATGGTCAATTCATTTTGTTCATTAGGTTCCACAAATAAGTGAGATCCTGTGATATTTGTCTTTCTCAGTTTGGCTTATTCCACTTAGCATAACAAATTTCAAACTTTTTAGAGCCTGTCTGTTCTTTCATTGGGGCTTCTCTATCCTCTCCTATCTTGGAAATCATTTCCACGCACTCGCTGCGCAGTCTCTGGCAGGCTGACCTGATTTTTGTCACACTGCTGACTCTCCTTCACAATAGTTTTATTGCGAGTCCTTCCTTATATGCAGAACCAGCACTAAATGATCCTGTCCTGATTAATGAGGCACTAAGTTGTCTTTCAGAGACAAAAGACCAAAACCACATGTCATGCAGCCAAAGCATGTGCAGAGGAGAGAGCTGTGACCTCCAGCTGCACCGGGAACCAGTCTCACCACCACCACCACCACCGAACCACCAGCACCACCACCAAACCACCACTACCACCAAACCACCACCACCACCGAACCACCACCGAACCACCAACACCACCACCGAACCACCACCACCACCACCACCACCACCACCACCACCACCACCACCACCGAACTAAAAGGCAGCACAGAACCAGAACTTTACACCAGGACCCTTTCATAAGACAACAGTCCACTGTCCAGGAAGATCTGGTGTTGGCACCCCTTTACCATAAATGGCCAAGTTCTAACATCCGCCAGCTAAAACATGCCAGCCAGCACTTCGCATACCTGCTCCCGTCACCCTAAAAACCCGTCAGCCCAGTCCTGTGAGCAAGATGGATTTGAGGCACCCTTAAGTCTCTCATCTTCTCAGTGAGCGCCTTCTTGATCAATAACCCTTGTCTTACTCCAAACTCAGACATTTTGCATGTTGGCCTTTTGAAGTGTCAGGCACACACACTTGGGTTTTGGTAACATCCCCAGTGGGGAGTGTCCCTAGTGCGCAGTTTTATGGGTGCTTCTCATGGGCAGTGTATTTCCCACAGCCTGCCTTATGTTAACTTTCCACCCGGGAGAAGTGTGGATCTCTCATTCAAAGTGACCAATTTAACTCAAAGGACACGTACTGTGCTTGTCACTCTCTCCGACAGGTTCTGCGTTTAGGCAGAATGAAACGTATTTTTATAATGAGAATTGTGTGGAAAATGCCTATCACAGAGAGTGAAACGTGGGAACTATTTTCCAGATGTTAACATCTCCCGTCCCCAGGGCAGTCAGTAGCACGTCCTGACTCGGCTGTGGGCTCTGGGGACTCCTTCCATTCTCTCTCCACATTTTTATTTCTTATTACAGCTGCTTTTCACCATGTGAGACAGATGCTGGCAGTATGTTCAAAATGAACGTCTTGTTCTAAGTACACACAAACTATGAAATTGATTTGAGCAAGCTTGTAATTACTGGTTTTCGTCGCATATGATTCTTTGCAGGTTCTATTAATCTTTCTTTCATAACAGTCGAATAATAATCAATCTCCTACTATGACTAATTCCTTAGTTGATAGTATCATGCTACTTCTAAAATTATACATAGAAAAGAGTTCTAAGACAATTGTTAGTTATTACACACCATCCACAGTGACATTTGGAAAGCTAAGCTAACACATCACTGTCACCCTCCTGGACATTTTACAAAGATAAACTAAAGGGCTGCTAACGAAACAATAACATTTATAGTATAACTGTCACCGAAATATATATACATTCAGCTGGATGTACTGGTTTGAAAAGTGGCCTCTCACAGCTTATTTCCAAGATTTCCTTTCAATGGTTAGACTACCATCTAGTTAAAAAAAAAATAATAATAATAAAACAAAATTTAAAAAAACAGACAAAACATTTCTTTCATAAAAGATGAAAACAATGAGAGAATTTTCAAATATTTATATATGAAAGCTTTACATTGAATAAATTACTTATTTTAAGATTAAAAATAACCCCTGCTCCCTGAGGTCACATAGTAAAAATATATATTTGTTTCTTACCTCTGAACTTCTTGGGAGGATTGGCGAGGTCCCCTGCCTCCGGATGCACCACACACCTGTCATCCACTAACCTAGAAGGAAAAGATGGTTATGTTGTTAGCATTGTCACATTCAAAGAGCACAGACAGCACATTGATCCCGTATACACATATACAAAGAGTTTCAATACTGTTTTTCATTAAAAAGGCTTTCTAATGATCATGGATTTATAAAACGATGTGATTTTAAAGGGATTAATTATAGCAGGATTTATGAAATTCAAAATTAAGTAACATTGGTAAGTGGTAGGACACTGGTTAGATAAATCATGACATAGACAAGCCATGGAACATTGTAGAACTATGTAAAATTCTATTTAGAAAATGTATCAGCCTACAAAACATTTATAATATGTTGTGAAAATAGGTGGTAACCCTATATAAAAAAGCCCAGCAGCCAAAACGCAGAATGACCAGAATGATTGTGGCCCCTTGCTCAGGCTGGTCCCGCCCCCCAAGAGGGAACCCCCACCCTACCCCGATTGGGAGCGTGGGCAACCTGCAAACCCCCAGTGGCCCCTCACCCTGACTGGCCCTGCCCCCCTATGGGGATCCCCACCCCATTCAGGAGCGTGTGTGACCAGCCTGCAAACTGCCTGTGGCCCCTTGCCCAGGCTGGCCCTGTCCCCCAGTGGGGGCACCCACCCCAATCGATGGTGAGGCCAGCCTGCAAACCACTCATGGCCCTTCGCCCCAGCAGGGACCCCCTGATCCAGGGCCCCCATCAGGGTATACCAGCCAGACCCCACCCGTGCACCAGGACTCTATCCTATATAATAAAAGGGTAATATGCAAATTTATCCTAACGATAGAATGACCAGAATGACCGCTGGACCAGTTACTATAAAGCACACTGACCACCTCTTAGTCCCTTTCTCTGGCTGGCAGACTCTGATCACCTGATGGTGAACAGGGAACTGGGGGTGTATGGTGGGGGATGCGGGCAGTGCCAGGCCAAGGCTCCTGCCCTACCAGTTGCCCCACACACAGAGGACGAACCATGGTGGGAGTGGGGCCAATGAGCAGGCAGGAACAGTAAGTTGATCACCCAAAGGCAAACAGGGAACCAGAGGTGGGTGGTGGGGGGGGTAGGACCAGTTGAGGGCAGCCGGGGAAGGTGGCCTTGATCACAGACCAGCCTAGGGACCATACCCGTGCATGAATTTCATGCGCCAGGCCTCTAGTAAGCCAATAAAACATAAGATATTCTATATTATAAAGATGTTATATGCAAATTGACCATCATACCATCACAAGATGGTGGCATCCACAGTGGGGGCAGGGCCAGCTGGTCTGCGAGCTGTAGCCAGAATCCCTACAGCCTCGCCAGGGGCCTCAGGTCCTCCTGCACCCCTCACTGACTGAGCCTCAAGCAAGCAGGGCCAGCCGAGGTGCAGACATGCCTTGGATGGCAGCAACCCAGCCACCCAGGGCCGCCTGAGGCTCCAGTAACCAGGGCCAGCCAAGGCTTGTGCTCCCATCAGAGGCAGCAGCAGAGGTATGATGGGGCGTCTCCTTCCCCTGATTATCAGGTGGCCTCCCGCCCCTGAGGGCTCCTGGACTGCGAGAGAGGGCAGGCAGGGCTGAGGTATCCCCCCTCTAGTACATGAATTTTCATGCACCGGGCCTCTAGTATATTTATATAGACACATGGAACAAGACACTAATACATTAACTTTGATCAGATTACCTGTAGTTTTTATTTTCCTTTTTTTTTCCTGTGTGTTTTGTTTTTCTCATTGGGAATGTGTAAAATGATGAAATCAGCCTTACAGAGTGACCACCGAGTGGGTAGTGATGAGCACACATCCTGCATGCAAACCTGGCTCAGCCCCCTCCTACCAGGTGACTGGACCTCCTTCGGAACCTCACAGCATTGTTAGGAGGATTAAATGACTTCCGATGCTAAGTTTACAGTCATGACTTAATTCCCACAAAGTGCCAAGTACAGTTTCTGGCTTATAGGAAGCCCTTAAATAAGTGTTAAATGGAGCAATAAAATCAAGGATCTTGCCTGCCTTATTCCTCACCATCCTGCCTGCTTCTAGAAGAGTGCCTGACACATAATAGTTACTCAATAAATATGAATCCAATTAATTAAGTGTCTTTGTAGTTATAAACACATGTTTCATCCCTACTAAAAGAGTGATAAGAAAACAATTTCTCAGATAATTCCAAAAGAGAGAAGCTGAATCCCTGCCCTGAGAGCCAAGCACACCACTGCTCAAAGGGAATGATTTAACCACTGAAGACTGACTATCGTTCATTTCTCCACATTTCTCCAGTGGTGGGAATAACTGGGTCTTTCCCAGGATATTGTAAAAATGCAAGTGAAGCCAAATCCAGTTTGGCTCAGTGGATGGAGCATCAGCCTGCGGACTGAAGGGTCCCAGGTTCAATTCCAGTCAGGGTCATGTACCTTGGTTGTGGGCACATCCCCAATGGAGGGTGTGCAAGAGACAGCTGATCAGTGACTCTCTCCCATTGATGTTTCTAACTCTCTATCCCTCTCCCTTCCTCTCTGTAAAAAATCACTAAAATATATATTTTTTTAAAAAAGATTTTTTTTAAATGCAAGTGAATTAGTTCCAAGTATGTGAATTCATTTGAAGGAAGATGCCCAAGTTGCAATTTTCTGTTTTATATAAACACACACACACATACACACACACATACACACACACACACACACACACATACACACACACACACACACACACACACACACACACACATATTAACCAGACTCCCTAGTATGCATCAACTCCAACATAGAGAAAAACCCAATGTGTGATCAAATGTCACCTTAGCTAATAGGATGACTAACCACATCGAAACTTTGGTTCCTGGTTTATCTGGTTACCAGAAGCAGATTCTTCCTAAATCACGAGATTTGTCTACGGGACCCAATTTCCACAAAACGAAATGCTAATTTAGTCAAGCAACATGGTTATTTCTTTGATTTTTTTACATCCTTCATTCATACTGGTTTTCTAAAGTGTGGTTTTACAAGAGCTGCCAAGCATGCAAAAAATTCCTTTTAAGAGTCTTTAAAACTGTTTTCTTAGAAACAGGAAGTCACACTGGGTCAAGAGAAAGCAAATCCAAGCCTCTCCAATATCCAACTTCAGTCTGTAACATTGAATGCAAAAGGCTCAAAGAGTCTTTATATTTAATTTTAAATATAATAATATTTAAATAATATTTAATTTTAAAAAAAATTTAATAATATTTAATTTTTTTAAAAAAATGCTGTGAGGGAAAGATCAGCTTTTCTAATCAGTTGAGATATGTTAAGAATCTAAAACATAATAATAATAATAATAATAATAATAATAAAAACATAGTCTTATTTAGAGCATGTTAAAATTATATAAAAAGTAACAGATATTCTACTCATTCTTTGTGCCTATCCATTCCTACAGAACTATAGGCTCCCACTAGAAGGTCCCACCTGCATGGACTAGCCATCAAGCGGAATGGGGAAAACTAAAGGTAAAAAATCAGATCACACTGCATTTATGTAAATACTTATGCCTATCCTCAATGACCCCCTAAACCCCATAAAAACTTAATCATTAAGAATGACTTCAGTTCTAAGAATTTGTCTTATTCTTTATACCCAAATGTCTGTAAAACTCACAAAAACAATCATTGCATCTCAGGACTGCAACTGAGAATAGAAGGGTAGAAAAAAAGCTAAGAGTGTGAATCTGTTATAAACACATACATGATCATTGAAGTTAAAAGTTAATCAGGATCACTGGCACAACTTCTTCAATATCCCCAATATCTCTTCTTGAACACCTCCAGGGCCAGACTACTCCTCATTTATCATCTTTCTAACAGTACTGCTATTAGAAATGTGTTTTATATTGAAGTGAAATGGCACCCTGTGTTTTCCATCACAATACTTAGCACATTTTTTACAAATACAGATATATACATATATATAAACTTTTTTTTTCATATACCCAAGTGTCAATATCCTCGTTAAATGTGATCCTAGAAACTATCCACTGGGATACAGATGTACCCCAAGCAAGTGGAACAGGGGACTCTTCCGTCCTTACCAATACTAAGTTAACAGTCATGCACCCTAAGATTCATAGTAGCTCCTGGAGCAGTCAAGCCCACCTCTGCTGTTCACTAGGTTTTTATAGCTAAACCATGATTCCAGGATCTTTCATGTGTACTACTGATTGACAGGCTCTCATATCCACCACCATCGGGACAGTTATTTTCTATAATCTAAGGAAAAGAATTTAATAGGGATAAACATAAAGATCAACCTTTAGCCTCTAAGTAGAAATCGTTGGAAATCATCTATTGCATCTCTAGATAATTCACTTAAACACCCTGTCATGATTACTGCCCATTTTAATTACTCAAAAATAATGCTTCCCCAATCTGGCTAATTGGCTGAATCCTATGGGGAGTTAAAATAATAATCATCATAATAAGAATAACAACAACAACAAAACGCTTCTTTGGTATAGATCTTTAAAAAAAAATCAAGATTTCTAGGGATCAAGAATAAGACTGTATTTTTGTGACAGTTCCCTAACCTTTTTTAAATAGATCAGATATAACTGTCTTGCACTCCCATGGTACCCTAGGTACCTCTATCAATGGAACTTACCACACTCCATCCTAATGTCTCATTTATGTCTGTCTCTATCACTATACATTATTAAGTTCGAAGAGAGGCCATTTGTGTTTTGCTCACCATAATATTCCCAACTTTAAATATTAGGCCTCAAACAGTTCTAGTGCTAAATAATTTTAATTAAATGAATGATGATTCTTTGAATCACTGAACAAATCAATAATGTCACTTTTGGTAGATCATACCTAGCCAAAGAAATACCTAGAGCCAATAAATAGTTGCCTAATAGTAGATGGAAAAAAGGGTCAGAAATATTCTGCATCCAGATATGTCTCAGAAAATTATCACAAGTGTCAAATCCTGGAAGGGGCCAATACAGCCTGCTGTAAATAACAATTTCTCATGTAGTTTCTTTCAACCTAGT